AGGGTCTAGATTTTTGGAAATTTTGGAATTTTGAAACTTTGGAATTTTTGGAAGTTTGGGAATTTTGGAAATTTTGGAACCTTTTGGAATTTTTGGTTTTTTTTTTAAAATTTTGGAAATTTTGGGATATTTTGAAATTATCGAAATTTCAATGATATTTTGGAATTTGTACAATTGTTTCCAATTTGTGGAAACCTCTACACGTTCATGCAACGCTCCTAAACCTAATTTTAGCCTTAGTCTTAATTTTGCTAGTTGTGACTCAGCCTTGTTCTTACCTTTAATTTTAGAGCCACTAGTATTGTTTGCAATAGTCTTTGACTACTTAAACCTATTATTAGTGCTAATATTAGTATTAGTTTTGTGGATGTGTTGGTACTTTTTAATATTAACTTAATACTAATGCTAATACAGTATTTAGTACTCAGTACAAGTATTAAAACCAATAGTAATCAGTACAAAGTAGCGTTAGTGACGTGTTATGTTAGTGTTAGTGCCAGTGTCAATGTCAGTGTTAGTATTAATACTTGTATTAGTATTAGTATCAGTCTTAATACTGTCAGCTGTAATATTCGTAGAAACACGGGTATTACAATTAATATTAACATTAATTAGTGTTCATGTGTTAGTATACTAATAGACTCGTTTATAAACAAATTAGTATATCAATATATTGACATGTTAGTATAGTATTTTTCGTATACTTACATACGATTATACTAATATGTTAGCACAATGGTGCATGGGTACCTGTATATCTATTAGTAACTCAGTATCTTACTTGTATATTCTTATATTAATATATGAGTTCGTTTAGTATTTGTGTATACGGCTATATCAGTATATTGACCTAACACTTAATAAGTATGTCAATATGTTGGTCTTGTAGTATATAGATATACCACTGTACTTGTATGTTTTTAGTATCGGCATAATAGTATATTAGCAAATTAGTATATTCATACATTAATATACCAGCACATTAGCATCTTGGTATAAGGGCGTGTGAAAATACTCATATATTAATACACGAGTGCGTTAATATGTTTGTTTTTTGAATACAACGGTATATACTCGTGTATATTCGTGTATGTAGGTATGTATTCGGATTGGTATATTTTAATGTCAATATGGACGCGATTATTGGTCTTCGAACGAAATTTTTTGTTAGCATTGTATTGGTATATTCCTATCAGCCTTAATATATATGTTAATCTTCGTGTTAATACTAGTATTAAATCGTAATGGGATGTCATTATAGCCATGAGAGTATGTGTATTAGCATTCGTAAATATCGATATTGGTATTAGTATCGTATAAATGTTGGCATTAGTAGTACTAATAGTTTAATATTAATGCTAATATGAAGATTCGTACTCGTAGAAGTATTTATATTAGTATTACTTTGAGTTTCGTATTATTATTAGTAATAGCATTAATATTGACATGAATATTCGTTCTAGTATCATTGTTACTACGAGTAGTAGTGTTTGTAGGAGTATTCGTAGTCAATTTATTCTTAATAATAGTATCATGATTAGAATGAATTTTCAGATTTGTAGTCATATGAATATAAAATTTAACTAGTATTCGCAGGAATACTAATGCTATCATTATGATTAATATTATTTGAGTTTTAATGTTAGTATTGGTATTAAGTGAGTGAGTGAGTGTCGACCTGGGGTGCTCTCCGGCGGCAACGGTCCCTCTCGCCTTGTTTGCCCCTCCGCATGCGTCATCGGGTTCCGGTGCTGAGTTCAACGCTCCGGGCCCCGCAGTCCGAGCCTGGGATTTGGGGAGGGATGTGCCACCCGAACCTCCATGGGCCCGCCCCCCAAGCCGGGTACTAAGCTGGGGAGCTCAGAGACAGGGCATAGGGGGAAGGATGGTCGAACAAACACGCACGCACGCACAGCACCGGCAGCGAGACTCAGGGCAAAACACATTCAGCTGATGCCCTTGCGGCTGCGAACAGTGTCCCCTTGGCGTTTGGAGAGATGCCTGATGCTGAAGGCATCCCCCTTCGACCAAAAGGGAGTAGCGATAATAATATATTTAGTTATTTGGAATCGCCAACCGGCGTTGTTCCTGGCTGTAATCACGAATATGTTTTCATCAGCATTTTTCGTCAACGAATGGTCGGTCAATACACATCGAAACTCTCTCGCAACCTCTGTGCTTGATAATTGCGATCTATTTTGGCTTGGCTATTCGTCGTAATCGTTGCTATGCTCACTTGTGCGCGGGCCTGGTGCGTGCATCCTGAATAGATGGAAAAATTTACTTATTCATAGATATAAGAGTTTCTAGATACGATCAGATTTAGATTAGTGTGGGTTGCCATGCTTCTCCTTAGCGATTGAATATCACGGGAGCCCGATCTTGGCCGAGTCACCTGCCAGGAACACACTGTATGTGCACCACGGTCTGTCAACGAAGGGGACTGAGCATGCATATATACGTATATATATATGTATATGTATATGTATATGTATATGTATATGTATATGTATATGTATATGTATATGTATATGTTTTTGTATATGTATGTGTATATATATATATGATGTGTATATTCAATATGCGCTGGGCGTTCTTCCGCCCGCCCCACCGGCACGTTCCCCTCCAATGGTATCCCGCCCAAATGCAGGGGCCTGAGGGCCTGGAGTCTTAAGCAACATGTGCGGAGAAGCCCCTGCTCCACAGAGTGGGACGGCAACCATATATACATGCAGAAACATAGACTTTCACACTCCATCATGTTGTGCACACATGCACAAAATAACGGCAACAGTTCAGCAGTCAATACAGTGAATGGCGAAGCACTCTAGGCCGTTATGCATGAGTTAGACATACATGGACAGACAGTCGGAAATGTAGAGACCAAAGCCGATGAAGCCATAACACCTGTTGGGGATTCAAGCAGATCGCGGGGCCCCTGCCAGAGGTGCATAAGACTTACATCTGAAGGTCCTGGCAGAACAAGGTAGATTTCTGCTGCTGAGGGTCAAGGTTTCCGGCAGCAGGGATCCTTTCGGGATGTCTAAATTACTGCAATCTGTACGTGTATAATTAGGTGTGTATACATATGTGTATATATACATATATCATATATTTGTACCTGTATACATACAGATAGACAGGCAGACAGACAGACAGACAGACAGACACACAGAAAGGAAGGTGGCTTGGCAAATAGGTCGACAGGCATTCTGCACAAGCACGTGTACATGCATATGATGTGGAACCAATCTCAACTTATCTCCCTTCATCATCCGATGACTCCTTTGTACTTTGTGCAAGGGGGTCAGCAAGCCACTCTGGGTCACAAGAGCACGCCCGCTGAGCCCAACGACTTCATGAAGGGAGCATAATCTGCAAGAAGCCCATCCAGAAGGAGGGAGTTCCTGGGAATAGTTGTTGCATGCTGCACCCGTTGTACAGTTACTGGCAGCTTGTACCACGGAAAGGAAAGGCCAACACCTAACAGACGGTTACCTGCTGGAAGGATGCTCGGTGGCTGCACTGTGATTTCGGAATGACCTCGAATCCGGAATTTGCTGCAAGGTCGCATAGCATCAGGAACCGAAGGGAAGAGCATGATTCCAACCTCGCCATTGAAAACGTCACTCACTTCCAAGGCAAAACGGCCACTCGCTCTTCTGCTGCAATCTCCTTGCAATGCCCGGTCGTTCTCTAGTGGTCGTCGCCTGTCCCCGTGATCGAAATACAATTCCAAGATAACAGAGGTGGTTTTGATAGAGATGTCGACACGATCAGAAGCACACACGACATCGACACAAGCTTTCTGGAACGACAGTCAGACCTGTGTGCTCTTCTGACCCGAGGCACAGGAAGAAGACAGCGACAGCATGTCATTCGCTAGCCATCTCCCACAGAGTCTCTCAAGGGCATGCACAGTTCAAGCCCAGACCAAAGGGCATGTTTACCAAATCTGCCTGGGTGTCCCGCTTCAGGGGAGACAGCCATTTGCGAAGGCTGGGCGGGACTGTGGCAGTTTTGAAGATCATCTGTATATGTTGCTGTATGCGCATATACACATATGTTTAGATAACATTTACCTATTTAACGATCTCTCTATCTATCATCCATCTATCTATCTATTCCATCCATCCATCCATCCATCCATCCATGCATCCATCCATCCATCCATCCATCCATCCATCCATCCATCCATCCATCCATCCATCCATCTATATATGAGCTCATGTTGTACATACCTACATACGTGCATACATGCATGCATGCATACATGCATACATATACATACATACATACATACATACATACATACATACATACAGGTCGCAACTCCGACTAAGGGCTACAATGGGTGCAGACAGCCACGCTTCACGTCTTCAGGGGGCCATTCGAACAAGTTTGGCGAAGTCCATCCGCTGGAAAATGCTAGAGCAAATGTATGCGTAATGCATAACGGGCCGCATCTGATCCGTCAGTGGCTTGTCGCAGTACCACAGCATAGACATAAATGATGACCTCGTGGGCAACAGAACATGCAGGTCATCGAACAGCACCTGGTCGCAAGCGTTCTGCTTCAAGGAATCACTCAAAGCACACCTTCCATGGGAAACTCTATCCCTACTAGCTGGGGGATTGCGTAAGGGCCGGGCTAGCCACACGAAGAAGAACACGAGCACAGAACGCGCCGCGAAACCCATGGCCTGCACAGCTCCAGTTCCGAACATGTTACAATGAAAGAGCCTGAGCTGACGTTCCCGTTACAAAACCATCTTGCCTGCACAGCTCAAAACGTTCTGCAACGGTTCTGCGATGACCCCCCATCAGCATGTCGGCCTTCACAATGATGATCAGCTCGGGAACTGCGCGGATGAACCTGTTCTTGCAGACATTCTCAGGAAGCAGCACGAGGTTTTCCGGTTCTTGGGACCTCCAAACCCCCTGAAGTACTCTTGGACATCCCTGGACAGTCGAAGCCTCATTGCAAGGACCCGTCCTTTAATTCTGTGCTCACCGTCACCAATCCACACAGTCCATACCACCGCGGACAGTGTGACAAATGGGTCCAGGAATGTTGCACATTGCAGCAAGTCGGCGCACCTAAACCCTAAGGCCCCAAGACCCAAACCGAGACCGGCCGAGTGAGCGTCTCTGAGACGACACTCATCGTCTTTGGGCCGGCCTGGTCACTCGGGACAGGCGCAATAGCTTCACCATTCCTGCAGGAGAGTATCTCTTGCGGATTTGACACATAGACACACATATATATATATACACATACACATCCACTTGCATTAACAGATTAATTGTGCTATAACATGGAGCTGAATGTCAGTCGTCGTTGCTTGGCGGTGTCAGGCTCCACACACTCATGCCGCCCCAACAAAGTAACTGAAGGCTTCTGCACATCTGAACCACGAGCCATGGCTCTCATCATTCGCAGGAAGGAAACATTCAGAACCTCACGAGAACGGAAAAGTCAAGGAAGCAGGTTGCTTGTCGCCCGTGTTCATTCAGTGCTATGTGCGGTGGCAAAACTGGGACAGCGCGGCGTCTGCAAGCCATGCAGCCCCTAGTGAAGTGAGCATCGAGGCCTTGTCGAATACGATGTTCAATGTCACTACTCCTCGCTTGGTTGTGTTGACTAGCACTACCACAAGAAACATTCCAGTCTCAATTCGATCACTATCCTCCTCCATATTTTCGCTGGTATCAGGTGAAGTAGGTTTAAAACAGTCGAGGGGCGTTGGCCCCTCCCCAAATGGAAATGATGATCGGGACCAGCCAGGTCTCTGCGACCATGTTGCTTACCAGCCTCAGGCATGAAAGCCCGTGTGACTTTGACGACAATGCGGCTTTGGGCGCTTAGGGCTAGCCTTATCTACTGCCCGAGAGTTCTGGCTTTCACGTCGTAGTCACATCACCCTATTCTCATGATGGTGGTCACAACAGTAGCTAAAACAACAATGCATGCAGCCATCGTAGCGCCAAGGATGGCAAGAGTATAACAACGTTGTCCAACACACGCATACCAATGAGCCTTGATGATGAAACTACCTGTTGCTAGCAGCTAGCTTTTCTGCAAACTCCTCACTACTCTGGCTCCACCTGGCAGGCCAAGCGCTTCAAGCCCACATTCCTAAAACAATCTTGCCTAAGATTGAGTCGTCCACAGCTGAATGCTGAGCAACGTTCCTCACTTTTACAGTTTGGACTATGGGTGTACTGGGTCAGGACATTCCTTGAAATGAGAACAAACAGTGCTTACGGTGCCAGACGACGACTTCGGCTGCTACTGCTACTGCCGATGGCTACTGCTGCTGGTGCTGGTCCTGCTACTGCTCCTGCCGCAGCTACGGTTATTGCTGCTGATGCTACTGATTGCTTCGACCGTCTAGGCCCTGGGTCCGTACAGAAACGACTCCAGAGTAGCACCCGGCATCTCAAGTTCGAGCCTTCAAGCCCTCCCGAATGAATGACGAATGCGCCGAATGCGAAGAAAACTACAACTCGCGCGCCACGAGGCAGCAGATCAAAGAGGAACCACGGATCCAGGAAAGCTTGCCGCTTTCGTGCAAAAGCGCCAAATCCTTGGAATGAACATTCTGGGACATAAGAGCTTTGGGGTGGATAGACTCAAAGAGTTGCAGTGTAGGCACCCCACGGCATTCTGGCTATGGGCACAACACCGGCGCCGTGCTCAAAGCCACAAGTTTTTGCAAGACCATGGCATTGGGTCTCATTGTTGAAGCCCAGCACGACTGCTGTGGATTGGACCAAACCGCCTGCTTCTAGTCTTGGATTTTGGATGTCGCGCACAGTTCAGGCCTAGGCACGAATTGAGATCTCGAAGAAGAAGTATGTGCAGAAGGTATGTTCGACCACTTGGAAAACCGTGTCCTGGGCGGAATGGAGCACGTGCAATGGCAATGCACTGCTAACAAATACAATCGTCTCGCATCCACAACTATTTGGTAAGTGTTTGGGGACCCACAGTTGTGAATTGTCGATGAAGTCTCCGCGATTGACATCAGGGATGACTTATCCCGTTGTGGGTCATGTACATTGTAAACTACTACAGCATCTCGCACGATAGTAGATGAATGCTTGACACTTACATTAGACTTACATCCTGGTTTGGACTTCAGCAGGAAACAAACATTGCAAGATCAACTCTGATCAGGTGCCGTGCATCCGTGTGAAAGTGTGAAAGGATAAAGGTTGCTTGAACAGGTGAGAGGCTGCGTTTATGAGCAATATGCTGTCGTTGTAGTCGATGTCTATGGAAATCCAAATCGCGTTCCTGAGTGCAGGGCATCGGTAGTCGAAGTTTAAGCAACGGATGGGACAAGTGCCACCTACAAAGCATGTGTGGAAATTCCTTCACAAGGGAGGCCTCAGCACGAACATTAGACCCAAGGTTCAACCCAACGATCGCCACTGTCAGGTTGTCGAACCACATACTTCTTGCAATTCTTTGGCAGAAGCCTGTTGTGTGATAGTAGTCCAACCTCGTCTGCACCGCTCTGCAAAGAGCCAGCAGGCAGGAACATCCAACCCGTCCCAGCTGCTTCTGAACTTAAAAGATGGATACGGCATATACGAACATGTAGAAAACGTCTCTGTGTCCGCGTGTGTGCGAGGGGACATTCCCGGAGCCAAGGAGCACGTTGTACTGAGGCTTCAAAAGCGCCCGCCGCGCTTTCTCTTTGAATGCATCTTGGTCCTCTCCGGGTCTCGGGATGGTACAAGTACATTGTGCATGCTCAGTGCACAGCGCAGAACAACATGATCCTCGCTAACTGAAGACAGCGAAGGCAGTTGCAAGCTCAAGCAAGAGCCACAAGCGCTCCAGCCGGGAACATTGCTGGGAGTACCTCCCGACTCCAAAACCATGGTTGCCTCCATACGATCCAAGGGTCGCCAACAACGTCTCATCAACATGGACGGCAAGGCACAGAACCCCAGAACAGGGCCCAGAAGACGCCGGTGCTTGCAAGGGATACAAACGGCTGGGGTGAGCGGGTTGTTCAAGTACCATCGAGAGCCGCCGGCCCGGGACCCTAGCCCTGCTGCAAAGTCGGCTGAAATCTGAACCCTACCTACATCTCCAGAGTCTACACCCGAAATCCGGGAGCCCCTCGGCCGCCAAGCAGATAGTTCAAAAGGCCCTCAGTCTGAACGGTCCTGGAGCCCCCCGGGCCGTGCAGGCACCAACGGTTTGTTGTTTTTCTTCGGCTCGAGTGACGCCCGAGGCTTCTTGTGCCTTGAAGCTACATTGGCACGTGGTGTTGTTGTTGTTGTTGTTTTCTATCACTTCTGCCTGCAGATGCAGTCAGAGCACATTTACCGCTGAAGCTTTGGCAGGCTTTAGTTGGCGGCTTAACATCCTTGCAAGACTGGGCCGAATCACAGGTCCCAGCCTTGGTAACAGTCGTTTCTGTGTATGGAAGCCTTGGTAACAGCCTTTTTAAATGTATAATTTGTATAATGTGGATAGATGGAAACGCACGCGTTAATGCGTACACTTGCAGTGCACACAATGTACACATGCGTGCACGCGAAAAGGCTTTGTTGCTATAATAGTAGCAGCTGTCCTAACAGCGGCTGTCCGAGAAAGCTTCGGGCTTACTTGACTTTCTTGGGTTGGTCTTCGTTCGGGGCATCTCCCCATATAGGGTGGCTCTTGATATGCTTGGTGCGAGGTGAAGAATCGCATCTTTAGTAGGGACATCATAACCGTAATAAACATGACATCAATAGTATCGACTATAAAAGGATGGCAGCAGCAAGACGAGCAAACGTACCCCAACGGGAGAACTTGGATCTGCCACACATAAACACCAATCACGAATTGCTTGAATACATGCGCAGCCATACACGAATATACATCCAACAAGTTGGAAAATGACAGAAAGAGAAGTGGCTGCCAAGTTGGATGCTTCACAAGACAGGAACCCCGCTCTTGTCTGAACTACCACACTAGACGAGTCAAGCGTTCGGCTCAGGTTAAGGCGCTACTGTCCGTAGGCTTACGGGCTGCAGGTCATGAAAAGCTGAAAGACTAGCAGCTGCCAAAACAAGCCAAAGCTCGAAGTCTTGTGGAAGTCAGTGTCTGTCTGACAGCCAGTGTCACGGTAGGAATCCTCCGTCTGAGAGGCCATCTCTCGAACTCGCTTCAGCTTCTTCACCTCGTTTGTGCGAGGCTTGCAAACTAACATAGAACGCCATCACCCGATCTCGACAAACGGACTTGCACTCCGAACAATGCTAGTGTGTGTGTTTGTGTGTGTGTGTGAGTGCGTGTGTATGTTCTGAATTGCAGATGCCTTGTTGGCCACATGAGCCCTCGTCATCGCATCTCCTGTTGGACTTTCCGGAACGTCGGAGGTTGGATCTTCATCGATGTCCACCTGGTGCTTCGGGCTTCTCAAGAGAAAACATCCGCTACCCAACACCAGGCCAGCTGTGCTTCGATCTGGTCTCCCGATCTAGCCTGAGGCATGGTAATGTAAACCTTGAGACAGGCACCAGCCCCTAAACAATCTACTTTGAACTGAATCTGTGAAGCCGGGCAGCAAAACCAGTGCTACAAAAAAAGGTGAAATGGCTGGCGGGCCAATGATTTTGAAGGTCGGGGCAAGCCTGTTGAGATTTGTGGGGACGAAAAAATAGTCTTTAAAAAAAAGTCTGAGGAAAAAGGTGCCTATACCAAATCACCCCCACATCATCATTGCTATCATGCGTGCTATCATCGTCGCTATCATCATCGCCGCCACCGTCGATGTCATCATCGCCTTCATTACGTTCACCATCATCTTCATCAGCATCGTCATCCATGTGTGGAGCAATGGGCTCTTCGTGTGCTGGGAAAACCACCCTGAACTTAATCTATGGAGCCACGCAGCAAAGCAAGTGTTACCAGAGGAGGCGAAAATGCTGGTGGGGCCGATGATTTTGAAGCTTGGGGCTAGTCTGTTGAGGTTCGCGGGGCGAAAACAGGTGTGGGGGAAAAGGTCCCCTCGCCGCAGCGTTTTCCAAAACGCCTCATCATCATCATCATCATCATCGCTATCACATCATCGTCATCATCATTGTTGGGAGCTTTTTGAGACCCAGCCTGCAAAGGCTCCTCGAAGGCCACGGCTTTTGAGGGCGAACGCACATGCTCGACGGAAGCCTGCGGAAGACTTCTTGACAAGAGCTAGTAAAGTCCTTTGAGCGCATGATAACCACACAGCCGTAACTCTATGCTTGCTCAACAGACCGTTAAGAAAGAATCTTTGGGAACTCCTTGGACCCGCCAAGCTTCGAGCTCGGGGAAAGGGGGCTCTCAGGGCTCTTGCTAAGCGGAGGGGTCATCTCACGCTTGCCAGTGCTTTGCTGCCAGGTGCGTCATGGTGACATTCTACGGGTGCTCTCCGGACCCAAACCTTTAACTCTGAATGCTTCGCTAACTGTGCCTCGGATTCCAGAATCGACCGCGGTGTAGCTTCACAGGCCAATGGCACATAGTCCAAATTCAGGTGCTGCCTTTGCAGAGGGCTTCTTCTGTGGGCTTCAGGTGGGCTGCCCGGATACACACCCTCCTGACGAGTTCGTTTGTTCCCTTCATGAGACGAGGCCGCGATCAAAGTCACAGCGCCAGAGATGAGGGCTCGGCTTCGGCTCGGTGCAGGCCGGTACCTTACTGGAGCCGGGCGGCTGAATCTTGCCAATCTCCCTCATCATCATCTGCATGTCTTCCTGCGTAGAGCTGAGCGCACACTGCCAGGAACCGATCTTTCACTACAGGGTAAGGTCATCCATGATGACCTTCTGACAGTGAGCCTTCAAAACAATAGCGCAGAGGCTTCATCTGCTCCCTGCGAATGAACGAAAATCTCATTTGTGCTGCTTGTCAGCTTGTCCTGCCGCTTACTTTAATCATGCATGACAGTTGCTCTCTCTCTCTCTCTGTCTCTCTCTCTCTCTCTCTCGCTCGCTCTCTGCGTTCGCACTTCTAGCGGATTCTAGCACCGTCTTTCGGGAAGGTCGTCTTTGTGCTTTTTCAGGTGTGCAGCGTAGTGCAAGCTGAAGGCCCACATCCCTTAAACTCTCTGACTGGTCCGTGAACCAGACGTGCGATTAGGCAACATTTCCTCGATCATGAGATGGGCTCGCTGAATCTCTGTGATGACCACGGAGAAATCCTGGGTCCGACAGTGCCCAGTTTTCTGCTGTCACAAGCTGCTACCAGAGAGGGCAGGCAAGAATGACCTGTGGAGTGACTGTCTAGCATATCTAGCATGCATGCGGCTGCGACTGCAACTTGCTGGCGGCCTCGGAACACGTCCTCGCGGTACCTACCGTTGCACACCGCAGATAGGCAGCTAGGGTCGTCGTCGTCGTCGTCGAGGTATCGAAAACACTGGTTCCCAGATTCAGCTTGGGTATTGAAACGGACCCAAGCAGCCGAAATTTCATTGATTTTGCAACAGTCAACGATCGTCCAGTCTGGACTCGATACCGCCAAGGCTCCAGATCTTGCGGCGCAGATACTGTTTGGAGCTCCTGAAGCAAGCAACAAACATGCCCTGCTTCACCCATGCTACTACAGGAAGATACTTAACCAGACTATCAATGCATAGAAACAAGACTGATAAGAGTAAACAAAAGAACACGACAAGCACAACATCAAGACAGCAACACCGACCACAGCCGTCGCCGCAACAACAACAACAACAACAGCAGCAGCAGCAGAAACAACAGCAACACCAGCAGCAACGACAAAAACAATGACAACAACGCCAACGCCAACAACGCCACCAACACCAACACCAACCACAACCACCACAACAACACCAACACCAACACCAACACCAGCACCAGCACCAGCACCAGCACCAGCACCAGCAGCACCACCAGCACCACCAGCACCACCAGCACCACCAGCACCACCAGCACCACCAGCACCACCACCAACAGACAACAACAGACAACAACAGACAACAACAGACAACAACAGACAACAACAGACAACAACAGACAACAACAAACAACAACAGACAACAACAAACAACAAAGAACAACAAACAACAAAGAACAACAAAGAACAAAGAACAACAAAGAACAGACAACAACAACAACCCCAATGCCAACTCCAACGCCACCAACACCACCAACACCAACACCAACCACAACCACCACAACCACCACAACAACACCAATATCAACACCAACACCACACCAGCACCACCACCACCAACAACAGCAACAACAACATACAACAACAAACAACAATTTACAGTAAACAACAAAGAACAGCCAAGAACAACGAAGAACAACAATTTACAGTAAACAACAAAGAACAGCCAAGAACAACGAAGAACAACAAAGAACATCAAACAACAACGAAGAACAGCCAAAAACAACAAACAAACAACGACAACAGCAACAACAACAACAACAAGAACAACAACATCAACAACAACAACAACAGCAACAGCAACAGCAACAGCAACAGCAACGGCAACAGCAACAGCAACAGCAACAGCCACAAGAACAAGAACAACAACAACAACAAGAACAACCACAACCACAACAACCACCACAACAACCACATCCACAACAACAACCCACAACCCACAGCCCACAACCCACAGCCCACAACCCACAACCCACAACCAAAAACCCACAACCAACAACCCACAACCAAGAACCAACGACGACAGAGAACAACAGCAACACCAGCAGCAACAACAACAACAACACCAACAACACCAGCAACAACAACACCGGCAGCAACAACAACAACAACAACCACAACCACAACCACAACCACAACCACAACCGCAACCGCAACCGCAACCGCAACCGCAACCGCAACCGCAACCGCAACCGCAACCGCAACAACAACAACTACTACTACT